TAGTAAAGATAGCTTCCTCTTCTTCTTCTCTCTCTCTCTCTCTCTCTCTCTCTCTCCTTCTGTCTTATTCATGGATTGCTCAAATAACTTATAAGGTTATTTTCATTGAGAGTCTACAATTGAGGCCTTATTTTATTCCAACAACTTTTATTTTTCCTATAATTACCAACCACTTCATCATTACATGTGGAATTTTAATTAATTATTAACTTTCATCTAAAGTTGTTGTTTGATCGTAAAATTTTACTAGAAAAAAAAGAAATGAAATTTAGTACAAGTAAAATATCATCAGAAGTTAAACAAACAGCAATGACAGATTCTGGAGCACTATAACGAAGTTGAGCATGATGAAGATGTCCTCGTGGTGATGTGATTTTGACCGTTTTCTTCTGATCAATCAAAATGCACTGAGGTGACAGATGACCATGAACAATTTGCCTTTGCTCCAAATATTTCATCCCTGCGGCTATTTCAACCACTAATTGTAACATGCTTAAGAAGCTGAAAAATGTAAGTACTTGCCTATAAATGCACCAGAAAATAAAGCCAAAGGCAAATATATGGATAGGATAGATGAGAGGACAACTATTAGCAAAAGTTTTTTTCATTGAAAAGAATGCTTAAAATAGTTAAAATTCAAACTTGGCTTCAGGCTCATGAGCCAAATACTGTCGTACGTTCCCGTATAGTGCTAATTCAAGATACATTGTTGAATTATCATCGATACCGTACAACTACAAATTTAATCGTTTTAAAATTATAAGACCGACTAGTAGTTTTTTGAATTAAAACTTTTACTACTCAAAGATCGTTCTTGATATCCTATACTGATAGGTTGGTGACAAAAATTGGATAGTCAAAAACATAGTGCGACATATTGAGAACTTCAAGTAGGCATTTTTGGCGAGTAAGCTAAGACTACGTAATCCAAAGCAGTAAGAGTCAAAAGCCATCAAGTGGATGTGAAGATGACATCTATTGAGAAAATATTAACCTTGATGAGATTTTCATGGTCAATTTTCGATAATATCTTTACTTCATCGTTGAAGATACTCCTAAAATTTCCAAAAAAAAAAGTGTAAAGGGAAGGATATTGTAATCTGTGCTTTGGATAATTAGTTTGCTACTAATAATTAGCTTATTATAGATCTATTAGCTTTCATTTAATAACACATTTTTATTAATGCATTAGAGAATTTTGAAAAAAAAGAAAGCTTTTTTGAATTAAGGACGAATAGTCAAAAGACCTATTACTTCTTTATGATCTGACTAAAGGTCAATGATCCCTTCCTTCCTGAAAATACATTCCTATCACCGTTTCAAATGTACAAAACTTATGTTTGTTCCAAATATTTGAGTAAAATATGACGGGTGAAACAAAAGCAGGGAGAGGGAGGGGTGGGAAGGGTTACCAATCAGGTCATGACCTTCAGAAAGAAAGGAATGGATAGATCTCTCTCGTCATGAAACAATTTGATCAGTTATGTGAAATTCATTGAAAAAATTACATGGCTTGCTTATTTTTATCTATTATTATCTTTGCGGCATAATTATTACTATCAATGGAACACGATCGAATCACCGTAAACCTTCCACGGCCAAGTTCAGAGCCTAACACAGCCTGATTTGTATTGAATTTTTCAATTCGTCGTTTCACTTTGCTAGAAATTAATAAAAAATTTGCATTTTTTAGAAAAATCAAAATTTCAAAATAAAAAATACAATTTCTTCAGTAGCAATAAAAGAAGAATATGAAATAGAAAATTTTAAAAACATCATTAAACATACAAATCGGAAACTCGAACAGCCGCAGTAGCATAATGTAAGCTGTCACCATTGTTAATCCTGAAAAATATCGGATTTTCAAGCTGACTGAAAATAAAACTATTTGATGAAATCCCTCAAAAAAAAAAAGAACAACATTCGATTTGTCACGTATTTTTATTTATTTATTTGTTTCAATAGTTTTTTAATTTATCCTATTATTCAATTTCATATTCTAAATTTTGCATTTAAATATCTTTTACTTTTTCATCATTTCGACATTTTTCCATTTTCCGATTAACTTGTTTACTTTTTCACTCTAATTCACTTATCTTTTTATAAGCAAGCTATTAAAAATGATAATAGGTAAGAAGAATTTCCGTTTTGGCCTAGTTTTTATGCCTAATTAGAAGTTTATTTGTGAAAGTAAACTTACTTCTTGGGCCTTATTTGGTCAACTTTTGAGGTTCGTACAATGGGAACAACAGGTGATACAGGAATTTTAGGTAACAGTAATGGCTCCATTGTTGTTGATTCATTGATACCGTATATATCTGCAAAATTTTATTCATTATTCATTACGAATAGCTAATGAATTTTATTTTAATTATTTAACGATATTTAACAATCTTCATTTAATTATTTAACATTTAATTACTTATCAGCAATACAGCAGACAAGACCAGTATAGTACCCTTCCCATAAGTTTGACAGAACTATGCGTTGTCCTAAGAAAAAAACCTTTGAATGACAAGTCCCAAATAATATTCCACGAGTTTGGTAAACATATGTTACGATTAACTGAGATAAACCGGAAATAAATTCACCTGAAGGTGGAGGCGGAAAATGAAAATCGGACCATGACGGTGATCTTTTGGTTCGTTTATTTACAGTTGCCAGTTTTCTATAAGTTATTAACAATATTAATTTGTAATGAATTGAACTTAATAACCATAAACGTACTAAACAAATAACAGAATTCAGTTGTTAAATTAAAAGTTCACAAATGAAGGATGAAATTAAAATTTTATTAAAGTACTTCTGATTTAAAGATTTTAAACGTTTCAATTTCTTGGAATTCATTCATTTTTATGGAGAAAGTTTTCCGTAATTTTGAATTCATTAATTATCATGAAACAAACATAGAATATGTGATGGAAAGAATGCAAGAATGCAAGATAATGCAAGATAGAAAGAATGCAAGATATCAAAACTGACTTTTCATCAGCATAGAAGCCATTGTTTTGAACCTGATGATAGTCAATGTCATTTGCGTCGCAAAAATTTGTGCAAAAACCTTTCTCGCCCAAACTTGTCACCATAATTTTTGCTCTTCCATTGTTATGATTTTTTGGATTTGGTTCATGTCGTCGTGAGATTAGAATTCCACACAGTACACAAGTTATGAGCAAGAATAAAATTACCAAACCTACAATGATTAGATGATGATTAAAATTTGAATCATCCGATATTTTTAAAAATTAACTCACTCTTACAAATATGGCTTATCAAAGTAATAATCATTTTAAAACATTCCATCGTATCATCTTATCACCTTATAAAAAAGGGAAAGAAAAATGTTTAGTTTATGGTGTAAAATCAAATTGCGCATAAAATGAGTATATAATCATTTTCAGATAGTCAAAGGTTATCCGAACAAATAATATTTGTTACATCACTAAATTTTACATGTAAACATTAGTTAGTTTAAAGTTTCTAAGGCATTGTAATGGATACTACTCGATGGTATTGAGAATTGAAATTGTCACTGATCAAATTTTTGCATAAAATAATCCAATGATTAGCGATAATAGACCATAAACTGTTTCACTGCCAACTAATCTTCTGATAAGATATTTTAATCCAAAAATGATACAGTAAATTTAGACATTTTTCAACATGAAAAACTGCTGTCAACCTCTTGGCCGAGGCAGAGAGGAGGTTAGCAGATTATGAAGGGAGAAATGTCAAGGAAAAAAATGGAGGAAAGGAGGATTACGGACAAGAAGAAAAAATGGAGGAGGGACCGGAGCCTCAGAAGCCGAAATTTAACATAGAGGAGGCAAAGTGGGCTCTTCTACCTGAAAGTGATGATGAAGCCAAGGATTGGCTAGC